GTGCACGGGCTGCAGAGCCCACCCGAGGTCCCAACTGGAGCCCTATCTTATTAGAAAGACAAACACAGGAGACTGTAACTCACCCTCATGGCAACACACCCTGCAGGCTTAAGCAAGAGGAGAACAGAGGCCACATGGGTGTCTTCTCCCAGGGCTGCCTGACTGCTGGCACATGCTGGCAGCGGCTCACCTCCTGCTACAGTGCACAGCAAGTGCAGGCAGCTCCTGAGAAGAAAGCACAGCTCTCTTTGTGGTTCACTGAGCCACCACAGCAAACATCTCTGATTCTGATGAATAAAAAGAGTGAGCAGCCTGGGCGTTGCAGGCTTTGGTTTTAAAGGGTCACACCTTTCAGAGTGCTCCGGGTCACAGCTGGGAGCCACTGCGTGCGGAAATGCTGCAGCACAGCAGTCCCATTGCTCCCAGCACCACCTGCAAGGCACCCTCAACCACAGAGCGCCTGGAGGATGTGGCCAGCTCTCCTTGGGAAAGAAACAAAACCCTTTTCCTCTTAGAAAGAATGCATAAAATGAAGGATTGTCTTTGTTTGTTTTTAATCTGCTTTTTAAAGCTACCAGACTATGAGACAGTCCAAACTGCAGCCATAAGAAAAATAGTAAAAATCACATTTTTCTTAACTCAGTTTGTTTCAGATTAGGGATGAGTGATTTCCCCTGTTAAGCACAGGCTACCATAGCACATCATTGCTCCCCCAAGCTCCATGAATGCCAAAGCATGCTGTCACCTCCAAGCACACACACACCACACAGGAGCAGCGGTACCCTCTGAGCTTTCTTACCAGCTGCAGCTGAATCACAGCAGAGAAACATTACAGAAATGAGAACAAGAAGGAGTCCCAGAGCTGCCTGCAAAAGCAGCAGTCCTTTCCAGACTGGAGTAAATCATAGAGATTATGGGAAGTTTACAGCCTGCTGGCTGCAGGGTCTCACGGTGCCAGTTACAGCGGTGCTGTTTGCATAACCCCTTTTGCCACAGAGTGTGGCTGCAGGTCTGTCCCACACATTCAGCACCGTGGGAACACGTAGAAGAGAATCAGTTACACGCAGGTGGGATGAGAGGCAACCACAGGGCTCCCTTTGCAGAATTTGAGGTCTGTCTGTCCAGCACATCATAATGGCATTCACAAAACCTCTACGACATCTGAGTCTGTCGTCTAGAAAATAAAGGCTTAGTTTGCAAAAAGGAGCAGCAAAGACACGGCGCGCTGAAGTTACGCACAGCCAGAACCACACACGGCTAAAGCAGACCCACTGGCTGACGGCTCAGCGCAGCAGCAGAGCGCAGAACCAACCGCTCGTGGTGCGGCAGAGCAGACCGCACGCACTGACACCGCACGCAGCTGCTCGAGCCGGGGCTCCAACAGCGGCCCCGCGCCTCCTCACCTGTCCTCGCTCTCCGGCCGCTCCCCGACAGCCGCGCGGGTCTCTCGGACGGCCTCTTACGCAACCGTACGTCCCAAGGACCGATGGCCAAACTTCTCCCCAAGGAAGCAAATGGTGTTTGCTCCCAAACATCTGAAAAATCCGCCCCCTGCCCGCGCCCGAGCCGTGGGGCGCCGGCCAGGAACGCGAGCCCGCACGGCGCAGTGCCCGCAGGTGGACCGGGGGCGGGGGTCCCGCAGCGGCGGCGCTCCCGGGGCACTTCCAGCCGCTGACGTGGGACCCCCGAGGGGTTCACTAAGAACCTTCGATGAACGTAGAGCCGCCGAAAAGCTAGGAAAGTGAAACACCTCGTTAACAACGCGCATTCGGCAGAACGCCTATATTAAATAAAGGTCGATTCAGCACAGAAACAGAATTAGGGATAATACTCACCGTGACCTTTGGCATTCCTTCTCGCTGAGCGATCCCCTGCCCTCAGTCCGACCGCCAGCACGAACGCCCCTTCCCCAAGCCGAGGGCTGCGGTGCGTGTGTGCCTAGCGCTGCCCCGCGGGCACCCGGCAGTGTGCGGGGCGCGCACCGCCGCACCTCCCGCCCGCAGCGCCGCTCGGGACGGGACCGCCCAGCAACGCCCCGCTCCTCTCGCAGCGGTGGGCAGCGCCCAGGGCCCCGTGTATGCGGGCAGTGCGGGGAGCCGAGTGCAGCTTTTCCCAGCAGCTCTCATTTCCTTCTTATTAAATAGGGAAAAACGAACAAACAGAATTAAGTTCTCTAGTGCAAAGAAACCGAAGCACTATTGATGTTTTATCTAGCTGCCCACCTGGCGTTACAATATCCATTGCACTTATGCGTGCAAACCCAGCTTCCCCACTGAACGGTGAGGCTCACAGCTAGTTTACCAGTAGGTGCATCAGAGCGAGGTGTACACCAACTCCTGCACCCACACAGCCCTGGCACTGCCTTACACCATTAGGAGCTGCACTGCTGCTCACTGCATTTTAGACATCCAAATTCAACACAAAGGCACAGGTCAGGGCAGCTGTGCAGGGACTGCAGCGGGCTTTGGACCCTCAGCTGGGAACAAGTTTCAAATTCCAGCAACCCTTTGTTTATCCAAGGAGATAAACCACGCCGGCTGCTGGACACGCCAGGGGCTGTCTGCAGGGGCTGGAGAACAGCAGGGCTCTGCTCAGAAGGACACCATCACCCCGGGACACCATCCCATGACCAACCAAGACACTGCACAGCCTTTTCCCCTCCCTGTTGCCCCACAGTGCCAGAAGTGGGCAGCTGGGAACTCCAGGAGATCCCAAACCCCTCTGCTACTTGGTGGGGGCCACAGGCCAATGAAGGGTCTAAGAGATGTCTCTGTGCAGGGCTATAAGGGCTGCACTCAGCTCCCTGTCTCCCTGGGGTGCAGTTGTGTCCCCTTCTGTGCTCTGCTGTGCATTAACGGCACGGTGTAACTCACTGCACTGCCCTCAGTCCCCCTGAGGGCCAGGACTGTGCTCTCTCAGCCCACCCACTAAGGTGCCACAGAAGCACAGCCCTGCACAGAGATGCCTGGGTGAGGACACCATGTCTGGGAAAGGCCTCCTTTGGGTCCTGTGCAAGCACAAATAATATCTTTACACTCTTTCATAAGCTTTCCAAAGGGGAAAAAAAGTAAAAATCAGAAACAATAACGCTAGAACTTAGCAGTTGAGATACATGCTTCTGTAGCTTGGAGGATGGCGGTGTGCTGTGGTGCAGCTGATGAATGGCATTTGGACAATGCTCTCAGACACAGGGCTTGCATTTCCGATGGTCCCTTGTGGAGTCAGGGGTTAGACTCAATGACTATTGTGGGTCTCTTCCAACTCAGGATATTCCGTTTCTGTGGTCACTAACATTTGGAACAGCCACCTTTGGCACCACATGGTCAAGAGGACACAGCTTCCCTGACATCCCCAGTATTAAGACAACAACACTCCAGGATGGACATGGGCAAACCATACCCCAACAGCCCCAACCTGGCAGATTCCCAGCCAGGAGGTGAGGCTCTCCACTCACCACTCACCACTCACCACTCACCACTCACCAGCACAGACTGCTCTTCCCAGGCACAAGACTGAGCTGTGTTGCTTAGGTGTGCACAGTGCTCCTGCAGAAGGTCAGGAGACTGCGAGATCCTCAAAGAACATAGTTGTATAATTCATGTGTGGAATCCAGAGTAAGAAAAGAGGAGGACGTAGTTGTATTCCATAGCCCCCCTCACTTTTCACACTGATGGTTCCTGCAACATAAGGCCGTTTTACAGTAATAGAGCAAAAGAATCATTTGAAAAGAAGCCCAACTTCTAATGGCACCCAGGACAAGATGCACCTATATCCTACAAACTATTCTGACTAAACATGTCTCATCTGTGAGAATTTTTGCTAGACACAGTCTCTTTTTTTTATATACACTAAGTACAGCAGATGAGGAAAGCACACCATTTCCATGGCTGTACAAACATTCATTGGCATTACGTTTCTCCTTTCTCTGATGGACAACAGGTGTGCTTTGCTGTGTTCTTCTGCAGAGGTATCAGCAGCTCAGCACCCAAGCCCCCAACCTACAGCAACTTCTGGGCCAAAGCAGAAGGGCTTTGCCCCTGCAAAGATCTCACACAAAGACTGATCTAGGCTGCAGAGCCTGTGGGCAGCTCAGGTCCTTACCTAACCCCACAGCAGCACACAGCACCAGATGACAGGCGATGGTGAGCCATCTCCCACTCCACAATGCACAGAGACGGAGCCCAGGCTGCACCCTGTGCACTCTCTCCCTCCCCCATGGCACGGTGCAGCCCCAGGGCATTCTCCACTCCGATTCTGCTGTAAAATGCACAAGTGAACTGCTAGCCCTGATTTCCGCCTGTGTTTTACTGCCAGACTGTTGTGTTTGTTTACAGCCTGGGGAAGAGGTTTATTGTTTTAAATGTTAATATCCTCCTTTAAATAAAATATGCCCATTGATAATATCTAGAGCAAACATTTGCAGAGCTAACAAAGTGGGAAAACATTGTCATCCTATCCAGAGAGAAAGTTGCAAGCACCAAAGTGCTGTTTGACTTGGAGGTGCACCAGGGGGCTCCGAGGCTGCTTATGCAACACGCAACCTTCAGCTATTTATTTTATTCCGTGCGTGTGCAAGCGAGCTGTTGGGCTTCTTTCCCCCTCTGTTTGCTTTTTCTCTTTAACTTGAGCATGCGTGGACAGAGACTTAAGGCAGAGCCGCACTGTGTGTAGCAAGGGAGCCGGGCTGCGGTGCCACCTAGTGGGAGACGCGGCAAGACGGCTGGGCTCCGGCAGGGCTGCCGGGCCCTCGGGAGGAGGTGGAAGACATCACTTCAAGACCAGGAGCTGTGGGCACAAACCTGCTTTTGCACCTGCTTCTCCTGCAGTAGGGCTTCACAGACGTTGCACATCTTGCAGCAAAGATAAGGGAATTCAAAACATATGGGGCTTCGGTGGTTTCTTGCCTGATGACAGAAAAGGAGGAGAGGGAGAAAAATCCCTCTCCTCCAGAGGATCTGATCCTGGGTGTTTTCTGTCCTACCTGTGAAGAGAAAGAGCAGCTGCAGGGCACTGGGTTGGCGGCTCCAGTTCTCTCACATTGCTCTTCCTTCTTCAAGGAGGCAAAACTGTGCTGCACAGCCACAGGGACTTCAAGCTGCCAGGATCTAAGAAGACAGAGAAAAAATTTATTCCTAGGCTTTAGCCTAGAGAGGACAAACCCCACGGAATTTAGGACAATGTTTTTGGCTTATCTTGCAAATATCTCTGCAATTTTTTTTTTGCACAGCATTCTGTAGCCAAGTGCAACATGCAGGGCGCTAGCTGCTAACAGTGCGCTCCATGCCTGCATCCTGAGAACAGCATGCAGTTGTTTATTTATTCAAATAACACCAGGGGTGAGGTTGCTCAAAACAAAGCAAATCTACTTAAAAGGAATGAATATTCCTTTTAAATTCATTCAGCATTTAGTGATTCATGTAGCTATCTTCAAAAATGAACTTTTCAGTTCATTATGTCTGCCAGGCGGTAACAATGTAGGATTTATACAAAGATACTTTGATTGCAACCTCCCAACTGGCAAGGCTGTTTTAATAGCTTGCAGGAGAGAGCAATGCTAGCACATCTGTCCTGCTGGCTCTGGATGACTTCCTCATCCTTACACAGATCCTTACAACATAGAAAGAAGCTCTGATCCCTCACAGTCAAGTAAGCAGAACTCCTTCAGGACAGAGGAGGCACACTGCTGCTCTCAGTGTGACACAGTGCCACCTCTGGCAGTGGCAATCCTTTGCCCTCAGCCATCTCTGGAACATGGTGCTCCATAGCTGCCTCTTAGTGTTCAGGAACACCAGCATGGTGCTGACTGCAGGCCGCTCAGTACCTGGGGACTGCCACCCCTCACACAGCACAGCCATCGCTCCAGCCAGCAGAGCCCCATCCTGCCAGCAACATCACTGGATCTGATGCAAAATCCATTTGGAGGCCAGCACACCCTTGTGCTGCATCACTCGAGTACTGACACGAGCAATGAATGTTCAAGACCAGGCCATTGCTTTCTCGAGAGAGTGCATCTGCATCCAAACTTTGGCAACGAGATTCAGTTCTTATTTTGCTTCTTCTCATTGAGGCTTCTTGGAGGGAGAGTCACAGAAGTTTGAAGAATATTTACTGTATTCAGGGTCACAGTCTTTCCATCTCTCTGCACATTAATGATAATCTAAGATCAAGTTCCAGTCAGCACCAGAGAATCAGAAATTGGGTTCATTTTTTAGGTTTGAATACTTACTGCCCAGGACATTCATGTCCTCTACCTCCCAGGCAGAGAGACACAAGAGACTGTGGTCTTTTTCACAGCCCATATTTCATTTTACCCTAGATTCAAAGACACCTTGTACTTTGAAAACAGATTCCAGTAGAACTCATTCGACTGGAAACAATCACAAATGTTTGTTTTGTCACCAGTTCAACCCCATATGGCTCTCCCACTCCTAAATTTCTGTTGTGTCCTGCCAAAACTCACTTGAAAGCATCTTGTGACAGTCTAACAAGAACATCAGCACTGCTACCCCTGAAACACCAGGACAGCTTTGCTAAGCTTGGAATGCACCACAGGCACACCACTTGCCCAGGAAGTCAGGCCCTTGGGCTGTTCCCAAGCGTCCCATACTTGTCTTCTCTACCACACCTGTGCAATTAAGTACTGCGTTTTAGTCACCTCCCACTCCTCAGCCAGAATTTGCAACTTTTACACAATATTACACAGTAATTCAGTCAAAAAAAATTCACTTTAAAAACATATAAGTCTTCTCCTGTGGGACATAGTTTGAATTTGTCAGAACTGTTAAAATTCTTGGTCTCTGTGTGTTCGAGAAAGAATGACAGGAGCTGCATGTGTTTCAACAGAACAAATGCTTGAGTCTGAAAGCAATGGAACATGGCACATGCCATCACAAGCAAAAGCAGGGAATCCCACTCATTCTGCTCCAACTTACTTTAACAATTATCTAGACATGTATCAGAAATAACAAGCCAGGCCACGTTAACCTAGCTTCTAACAGATCTCATTTTGTACCAAGACAAGTATTTAAAATACATACCTGGAATCATTTGAGTTGGAAGGAACATTTAAAGGCCATCCAGTCCAACTCCCCTGCAATGAACAGACACCGACAGTTCAATCATGTTGCTCAGAGTCTCTTCCAGCCTGACCTTGGATGTCTCCAGGGATGGGGCATCCGCATCTCTGGGTAACCTGTTTCAGTACCTCATCACCTTGATTGTAACTTCTTTACGTCTAATCTATTTCTCCCCCCTTTTTAGTTTGAAACCATTTTCCTTTGTCCCATCACAACAGACCGTGCTAAGAACTTATCCTCTTCCTTATTACAGACCCCTTTAGATACTCAAAAGGCTGCTCCCAGGTCCCCTCTGAGCCTTCTCTTCTACAGGCTGGACAGCCTCAGCTCTCTCAACCTGTCCTTGTAGGAGAAACTTAACCTGCAAACTCACTGATCTTCCCCAGGGAATCTGCTTCTTTACCCGTACCATTCTCAAAACAAAGATTCAAAGCTCTGAGCACTTCTAGGTTCTTGATACAGACCTACTGCGGTGGTGCAGTGGAGCTTCTCTTGCTCCAAACAGGAGGGATGAAGAAAGGCAAAGCTTAATAGATAAACAAGCAAATTACTGGACGGCAGATTCACAGGAGAGTGTTGCAGGGGAAGAAAAATATGCTGACTTCAGATTTCAAGACAACAAAGAAATATCTTTGCAGGCATTGCAGAACTCTTCTCCGTTAGGAAAGTTGAAATTTAACCTACAACATAGTTTTCTTCTTAAACCAGGCTCTTCCAATTTCTCCTACTTAGTGACTTATCTTAATCCAACATCCTAATCATCATATCTATTCTTTTTACCAACCAAATAGACCCATTTATACTGTCTGTACATTTTTCCAGTCTATCTGCTATGACAGCTGACATATTATGCATTTTAAGTCTCAATTCAGCATTTTGAAGTTGCTTCATTTTATGCTTCTCTTAAAACAGCTGTGATTAACTTACCTGACAGTCCCTGGAATTCTACAGCTAATGCATGCTTTTCTTACGCAACCACACAACCTGAATTTGTGCTTACTGCATAGTCTGTGTGTGTGTTGGCCTGAATGACGTGCCAGTGTTGTTGTTTCTTTTTCTGGATCAGAAAATTCGCATCTTAAAAGAAGTGCTACTACTTAAGTAACATTTCATTCTTTCACTGCTGAACTATAAATGCTAAGAATACAGGGTTGTCTAAGTGACAGATACTTCCAAATCATATCCTCTAAAAAAAAAGAAGAGGAAGAAAAAGAGCAAATCTTTTTTTTTAAAGTAGGAAAAAAAACCCCAACACACAAGAAGTCCCACCCCATAACCATGAAGCTGCCATGAGCACCGTCCTTAAAGCCAAGGAAATCTCTATTATCTATGTTATGCTTCCCTCTACTGTTTCATCTAGGAAGTGCAGTCACCCCCTTTAGAGTGACTACGAAAAGATAATTTGCAAAAAATTATGCATGTTCATTTATTCCTTTATATATAAATCAAACTGAACCAGAAAGGTATTCATGCATTTTGTAAACGCCGATTCGAAGAAACAGTCAATTTGACAAAACAAACTATTCTTTTAGAGCTGGAGCGTGACCTGCATCATCTTTGTTCTTTGGATGTTAGATGTCTGGAATTACCTTGTCCTGAATCAATGTCAGAAGATTCTATGATAAAGATCATACTTCAAAGATCCTGCACCTAAACACCGTATACACATTTCCTCTGAATATTCCTTTAAAAAAAAAAAAAAAATTTAAGTTACTGGTAAAACTTGTAAATCAGCTTAATAAAAGTTTCATTTTGTTCATGAAAAATGAAAGGCATGGAGTAAAACTACTCCCACCTATCTCATGTTAATTATTACATGAAAAATCACCTGCAACATGCTAACATTCCGATGTAGTTATTTACAACCTATGACAAAAAAAACCCAAAACAAAGGGTTTTTTCAGGCAAAAAAGATTCAAAGGCAAAGAAACGTAACTAAATATTAAAAAAAAAAAAAAAGTGAAGCACCAAAGAATTATCGTGGAAACAATTTGTCATGCGTCGCAAAGCAGTTATGCATGTCATGTAACTGATTCCAAGGAATGAATTCCACAGACACATTAAAATCGTCAAAACAGTGGTGGTCTTTATTTCCATCAGACATGTTAACAATTAGGTTAATATGAATTCATTTCACCATCTGTGAGATATGGAAATTAATGATTATTAAAAAAGTGAATAAACCGCCTTCCAAAAATATACTGGATAATACACGTGTCTGAATTTTACACTACCCTCCCGATGAGCCCTTTATGCTATGTGACATGACATACAGCTCTACCAGACAAAATAATTTGTGGACTTCTTCAGCCTCTGATTTGTGAGCCTTCAAGGTTCCCAGGAAAAGCAAGCTTGTCCACCCTATGCAGCTAAGCACATAGATTTCAGAAGGATCTCACCTCAACACAAATATCTGGAGATTTGCCAACCAAACCAAGGTAGAAAATAACATACTGGAACAAACACTTAAACCTTGGTGTCCTGCAGGGAAAGTAAGCCTTAGCTTAAAAACAGAAAATGCATTAGCAATAATCTGTCTAACTTTAGAAACTGGGCTTTGGATAATGCAGTTAACGCTTGGTTTTGATCACCAGCAACTTAGAAATCACAGACTACAGAAAAGTCTTCAAATAAATTGAAGTAATCTCCTCCCTTTCCCACCTATCACCAAGTACGTACCATATAAATAACTACTGTACTACAGAGCTCTTCAGACAAATCACTTTCAACATTAATGGGATTTCATTTTAGTGTCAAGTTAGCAGCCTGTTCCTGATTGTGAAAATCAGGACAACTGAAGAATTAACTTTTCACCACACACTCTCTCTCCTAAAGTTCTCGTGCATTCTTGCCAAGAAACTCACGAAGTCACAGGAAAGCCTGTATTTTTATTTTTATTTTTTGACAGGATGAGGGGAAGGTGTTAAATAAAAGCGACTCATCTAAAGAGAAAAGGCAACAAATCAACAACTAGTTTTCACAGTAAAAATGCATCAGCTTCGTAGTTTCATTTGAAACCAAGAACAAATCATGAAACGTCATGAAAATAAGAAAAAAATCTCCTAGAGTGATTACTAAATGAAGTTAAAATTACCACACTATGATCAGTAAACCCCAGAAGAAAAGCAGATGCCTTGTATCACAGATCCTACATTAAACAGTATACAGTTAAAATAATTCCATAAACTCTGTATGTTTGGCAACGTTGCACATTTTCCCCCTAAAAAATACAGTGTACAGAAAAAAAAAAATCTCAGTATTCCCAGTATGAACTCCGAAGTGTAAGCTCAAAACCCAGAAGTTAAAGATCAGCTAAAAGGATTTTAAATTATTTACAAATCCAGCAGTTAGAACTATCATAATGGCTTCATTTCCATCCTTGTAGTGGCTTTCACTCTTATCCAGCAGCATCTGCAGTAGATATCTCTTGAGACATCTTCATCATTGATCATCTGTCATTTTAAGCAATTCTAAAAGCGCCCCAACAGCTCCAAAATAACCCTTTAAATAAGACCAGAAAAACAAAACTAATCAAACTCCCAAATCAGACATATGCATGAACATGTAAAGCCCCCCATCTTAGTAAAGCAATTAAAAAGACCTTTCTTGCAAGATTGAACCTTGATGTGCCAATCTTTTCAGTATCTGAACTACAGCATAATGTGATCTTCTTTAAGTCCAAGAGAGCATTATATCAAGAAAAGTCTTATACAGTTCTCTAAAACCATTAAAAAATAAATATAAATATATAAATATATAAATATATAACTACAGAAAAACTATAAAGATGCTGTATGAAGGCAGTGTAGTTTCCCTTATAAACACAGCCATCTGAAAATCCCCTTAAAAACATCTGCCAAAATTCATTCTAGTTGAGGTTTATATGGAACAGCCCACAGAAGAGCACATTTGGTACTAGGACCAGGAAGCAGATTAAGATGTGCAACATTTAGTGCAACATAAATACCACAAGATTAGTGGTCAACCCAGGAAGTTAATGAGGGGTATTTTCCAATGAAATCATAATGAAATTATGCAGAACTCAGCTTGCACTTTGAAGCAACATCGTGGAAATTCTCCCCTTCAACTCCCTCAAAAAGTCAAAAACAATAAGACCTTCTCCTTACCAACAGAAATTCAACATATATTTCCTTACCTCATGTTCCAAAAACAGAGCTTTCAGCTGTCCCTTGGACCAGTAATCCATAGCATATGCTAGCACCTTCATTGAAATCATATTAATTCTGAGAAAGTTTCCAACAAATACCACTTTGTCGATGTTCTGTAAAATTGAAAAGCAGATCAGCAAAAATTAGATTCAGCTACGCTATTTGTCTCATTCAACATATACTTCTACCTCTACTATAAAGTCACATGGGTATTTTGAGATACGTATGTTCTCCAGACAGAGAAGTCTCAAAATAATTCTAGTTATTGACCACTACACATTAACGTTGCACGAAAAGAAGTTTTATTCCAAACAGTGAGAGACTGGTAAAACAGATGGGGAATTTTTGCTTAGAAGCCCATGACCTAAGCTTCCACAGGAGTATCGAGGGAACATTAGAAACGTATCCTCCAGAGTCCTCTAGTGAAGACTAACAGCAAAATCCTGCCAAGATAGGAATTACCAAGGGCTATATTCATACAACTCTATAAAGCCTAGCACTTTGTACACTTTGCTCTGCAGCAATCATTTTGCTACGAAGTGCAGTTCTGTGGTGTCCAGCAAGTAACATACTACACAAACACCTTCACCTGAATGCCTACTACTGGAGAGCAGGGATACCCAGATGCAAACATTTATTTAATCTCCAATGACTTGGAGTCACAATTGTGATTACAGTTCTCAAATCAGACACAAGATTACACATTTATTTACATAACTCGGGGTTATAGTAATACATCCACTTAGACCCTGCAGTCTCATCAGCATGCACCTGTATGCTTTCCTAAGGATTTACATTGCTCATACTAGGAAATTCTCAAGCTTCACAAGGCTGCTATTAAAAATGGCCAAAAATACTCTGCATCCTCAGACAAGAAAGATAGAAAGAAAGGATACACATGAAACTATTTTCCTGCAAGTCAACACCACCAGATTGATTAGAACTTGTCTGAATTTCATTCTCATCAAAATTTTTTCTAATGAATATACACAGTAAGCTACTGTTATTAGAAATTCAAGCAAGAAGAACTCAACACAAAGAATTATTAAAAACTTTAATAGTCATATTTGTCTACTAGAATAGCAGCGTGTATTAACATGCAAGTTTCCTATCAGCTCTATTTTCCAACATTAACAATCTTTAACTGCGTGAAATCAAGGAATTTCCTATATGCTAGAATTGAAAACAGCTTTAGCATTTTTTAGGACTTAGAAAAATGAGCTACTTTATCTCTTAAGAGAGTCTTGCCATCTTACTTTCAAATTGTTCACAGCTGAAGTATCTGAAGTTGAAAGAAAGAAGCCTTAAACTCATAAAGGCTAGTGATGAAATGCTTGCCTACGCTAACCAAATATAACATCCTGGCAAAAATATGCACTCTTCCATTCTGGGGTTTTGGCT